GTTCGCATCGAGCAGTATATTTGAATTGAATGTTCGTTTGAATTATTCATTTATCATCTGTTCGTAAACAATAAAATTAAACTCAAGTCTTTGATTCAAATTCGACAAAGTATTTAAATAGAATGTTCCTTTGCATTATTCATCTGTTGTCTGTTCGTAGATAACAGAATTAACTTCCAATTTTTCGTTCGAATTGAACAAAGTATTTGAATAGAATGTTGATTCGAACTATTTATTTATCGTGTGCTCGTAGATAATTAAATGGACCTCAAATCTTTGGTTCGAATCGAGGGGAATATTTGAATAGAATGCTGGTTTGAATTATTCATTTATCATCTGTTGGTAGATAACAAAATCAACCTGAAATTTTCCATTCCAATTGCACAAAGTATTTGAATATAATGTTCCTTTCAATTATTCATCTGTTGGCTCTTGATAGATAACAAAATTAACTTCAAATTTTTCGTTCAAATCGAACAAAGTATTTGAATAGAATGTTGATTTAAACTATGCATTTATTGTCGGTTCGTAGATAACAAAATCAGCTTCAAATCTTTCGTTCGAATCGAGCTGAATATGTGAATAGAATGCTGGTTTGAATTATTCATTTATCATCTGTTCGTAGATAACAAAGTCAACCTCAAATCCTTGATTCAAATTAAACAAAGTATTTGAATAGAATGCTGGTTTCAATTATTCATTTATCATCTGTTCCTAGATAACAATATTAACGTGAAATCTTCGATTCAAAGTGGATACAGTATTTCCATAGAATGTTCCTTTGAATTATTGATCTGTTGCCTGTTCATAGATAACAACATTAATTGCAAATTTTTGTTTCGAATTGAACAAAGTATTTGAATACAACATTGATTTAAATTAATGATTTATTGTCTGTTCGCAGATAACAAAATCAACTTCAAATCTTTGGTTCGCATCAAGCAGAATATTTGAATAGAATGTTGGTTTCAATTACTCATTTATTCCCTGTTCGTAGATAACAAAATCAACTTCAAATCTTTGGTTCGAATCGAGCAGAATTTTTGAATAGAATGCTGGTTTGAATTATTCATTTATCATCTCTTCGTAGATAACTAAATCAGCTTCAAATCTTGGGTTCGAGTTGAGGAGAATATTTGCATAGAGTGTTCATTTGAATTATTCACCTGTTATCTGTTAGTAGATAACAAAATTAACTTCAAATTTATGGTTCGAATTCAAACAAAGTATTTGAATAAAATGCTGGTTTGAATTGTTCATTTATTGTCTGTTCCTAGATAAGAAAATCAACTGCAAATATTTGGTTCGAATCAAGCAGAATTTTTGAATGGAAGGTTGGTTTCAATTATTCATTTATTGTCTTTTCGTAGATAACAAAATCAACTTCAAATCTTTGGTTTGAATCGAATGAAGTATTTTAATAGGATGTTGTTTTGAATTATTCATTTATTGTCTGTTCGTAGATGACAAAATCAGCTTCAAATCTTTGTTTCGAATCGAGCAGAATATTTGTATAGAATGTTGGTTTGAATTACACATTTATTGTTTGTCCTTAAATAAAAAAATCAACTTCAGATCTTTGGTTCAAATCGAGCAGAATATTTGAATAGAATGCTGGTTTGAATTATTCAGGTATCATGTGTTCGTAGATAACACAATCAACGTCAAATCGTCGATTGAAATCGGACAAAGTATTTGAATAGAATGTTCCTTTGAGTTATTCATCTGTTGTCTGTTCGTAGATAACAAAATGAAGTTGAAAGCTTTGGTCTGAATTGAACAAAGTATTTCAACAGAATGCTGGTTTGAATTATTCATTTATTGTCTGTTCGTAGATAATAAAATCAACTTCAAATCTTTGGTTCGAATCGAGCGGAATATTTGAATAGAATACTGGTTTGAATTATCCATTTATCATCTGTTGGTAGATAACAAAATCAACCTGAAATCTTTGATCCAAATTGGACAAAGTATTTGAATAGAATGTTCGTTTGAATTATTCATCTGTTGTCTGCTCGTAGATAAGAAAATGAAGTTCAAATGTTTGATTGAAATTGGGCAAAGCATTTGAGAAGAATGTTCGTTTGGATTATTCATCTGTTGTCTGCCCGTAGATAACAAAATTAACTTTAAATTGTTGGTTTGAATTGAACAAAGTATTTGAATAGAATGTTGGTTTGAATTATTCATCTGTTGTCGGTTTGTAGATAACAAAATCAACTCCAAGTGTTTGGTTTGAATGGAGCAAAATTTTTGCATAGAAGTTTTGTTCCAGGTATATATTTATCGTGTATTCATCGATGATACTGCGAACTGGATACGTGTTCTGTAAAATGTGGGCAAAATGTGAATAGAATTTTGTTAGGATGTATTCATTGTGTCGGTTGTTGATCAATGATATGATGAACTGGTCATATATTTTCTACACTGAGGAAACTATTTGAATAGAACTTTCCTGTTACTTATCTGTTTGCCATATATTTATCGATGATATCCCAAACCTGAAATTTTTCCGCTGATGTTCCCATATATTTTGAATAAAGCCTTGCTATGAAGCATTCATTTGTTATGTATTCGTCAGTCATATCATGAGCCGGATATATTATCTCGACGGTGACGATATTATTTGGGTAGAATATTGGTATGAATTATTCCTTTGAAATACCTTCATTGATCATTTGATGAAGTGGACACGTGTTCTCTGTAGTGAAGCAATTATTTGAATAGAACGTTGGTATGAAATATTCAATTGTGATCTATCAGTGGATCGGATGACAAACTTCGAATTTTCACATTGACATGTGGAAAATATTTGAGTATTTTCTTCGTTAGAATTGTTCAGACACCGTGTGATCTTCAATCATCTTGGGAACATCAGCCTGTTTCTTCGAAACTAGTACAGTATATAAATGGAATCTTTGTTTGAAATCTACGTTTGTAACGTGCTTGTCTATTGTATAATCAATTCCAAATCTTTGCTTCAAAGTTATCAAAATATTTAAATAGAATGTTAGTTTAAATTATTCCTTTGTCGCGTAATCTTTGATCATGTAATTAACCCCAAATCTTTGCTTGGAGTCAAGCAAAACGTTTGAATAGAATGTTAATATGAAGTATTCATTTTGTCATGTATTTGTCGATAATGAAATCAACTCGAAATCTTCCTTTCGAATTGAGCAAAATGTTTGAATGAGCGTTCCTTTGACTTATTCATTTGTTACTTGATCGTCGATAATAAAATCAACTCCAAATCTTTGTTTTGAATTGAGCAAAATGTTTGAATAGAATGTTAGTTTGAATTATTCATTTGTTAGATGGCGGTCGATAATGAAATCAACTCTAAATCTTTGCTTCGAATTGAGCAAAATATTTGAATAGAATGTTCATTTGAATTATGCATTTGTTCGGCGACCGTTGATAATGAAATGAACTCCAAATCTTTGTTTTGAATTAAGCAGAAGATTTGAATATAATCGTTGTTTGTATTATTCATTTCTCGTGTGATCTTCGATTGTATAACTGACTCCGAAAAATCTTTTTCAAGTTAGCAACATATTTGACTAGGCTCTTTCTGTGTCGTTCGGAAATAATGTCGTAACTTTTTTGTTTGTTTTGGACTCTCCCCACTCTCTCATCTTTCGTCATGAGTGTAAAAAGGGTCTAAGAGGAAAATAGTGAACTCTGAAATCCACAGAGCGAAGTGACTACACTTGAGTGCACTTGACTCTGAAAGATTCTATGGAACTAAAAGACTTCTGGATTACCTGAAGTCTGAAAGTATTAAAGCGTTTTTCTGCTTGTAAAGCGCTAATGAGAAAGAAAATTGTTATATGCTGAATCAAGTTGAGTTTATAAACGATGAAAATGATCAGTTTCTGCTTTATTTAGGTGTTAAAAAATGTTGCTTCATAAACATTCATTATCCTGTAGATCCATATAGAAAAGAAAAATACGTATGTACCTACTACAAAAAAATGGAAAAAAGACGGTAATGTGTAAAGAAAGCGAGCAATAGAAAACAACGATATCGAATAAAAATAAATGATGAATATTTTATAAACTGTTCCTCCCCTAGAGAATTAAGAGATCTGGATCTTTTATTGAATCTGAGTGCACAAAATTTTCAAGAGGAGATGGTCGTCTAACTCTGCTTTTATCCTAAGTTCTCTAGAAAAAAAAGTTTCAGGTATCAAATGTAACTGTTCGATTACTCTTATTGTGTGTTTATTCTATTGTATTCATATAATGATAATTGAAATAGTAACCGTTATCAAGAAACAGGAGACCGATCTATTACTGATTTCTTGATTTAAAAAATATGAGGAAAACTTCGAGTTCCACGCTCGATTCAACTCTTGCATTCTCTTAGATTATCGAGTAAAAGAGCACAAGAAAGAACAAATCAATTGTATCACTAACTCTTTTTTCAATTGTCGAGTTAGGTTTATACAGAAGTTTTTTTTTTTAAACATGGCAAGTGCAGATGTGAGGAATTGAGACTTTTCGATATCGTTCTTGCCGAAGTAGGACAAGAGTCGTACGCATGATCAGTTACAATCCCGTACACTTCAAATGATGACAAATCCTTGATTGTATTGTTGGTGTTCTGAAGTTTCTGCATAATAACATATTTCTCTTCGTCATAATCTATAGTTGAGTCGTTCGATTCTTCATAGGCTCACGACAGCCACTCAAGGATAGTAAATGCGACTCGTCGTATTTATGTAGAGCCCAGCGGTTCTGGTTCCTAAGAACGAAAAAAAACGGTTCCATTTTCGGTTCCTAAAAATTGTTTGGAACCGCTGTTTAATAATAATATATGAAAAAAATTATTTTTTTTAAATAGAATTACATCTTTCATTTTTCAAAAATGTTTATGTAATTTATTTCCTTGAAAAATCAATTTTTTCAAAAAATAAAGCAAAAATGAAACTATGAAAATCATTATAATACAATACGTTCACAAAATATATTCATCAGTTAATTAATTAATACAAAAATTAGTCGTTTTCTTTATCTTGCACATCGTCATCCCAAATAACTATATCATCTTCTTCATCTTTTTTCAATTTCTTTGCTGTTGTTGAAGTTCTAAATTGTTTTTGATTTTGTAATGACACATCAGTAGATTTTTTATCAGGATCAGTTATTTTTCTTTTCGTATCAGTTGCAGTAGCTTCAATAACACATTTTTTATCAAATGCTTTTAATAACATTGGATTTTTTTTCAAAAATAATAATTTGTTTATTTTTTCTGCACCAAGACTGGTACGTTTATCTGAAACTGTGTATTTTGATGACGAAAAAAGTCTTTCAACCGTTGTGTTTGATGCTGGTGCTGCATAATAATCTCGTACAATCGAAAATAATGTTGGAAATTTTGATTTCTGTGTTAACCAGAACAACAAAATATCATCAGCTTCATTTATTTGAACGTTCAAATGCATGTATTCATCTAATTCTTGATATGGATTTAATGATAGTTTTAAATCATTCTTTGGCAAGTCGAAACATTTTGATAAAACACTTGTTGATGATGCTGACTGAGTATCAAGTTCAATTGTAGTAACTGTTGTTGTAGTCGTTGTACAATAGGTCGTTGGTGTTGATGGTTGTCGTTTAATAATTTCATTTTTCACTAAATTAATAGCTTTATCTTGAAGATTAGGATTAACATCAAAATTTTTAAAAGACGGATGCAATAGGGTGGTAATGTAATGTATATCTTGGAGCACCCAAACATCTTGAAAACGAGTACCTAAACAGAAAAAGAAGCTTTAGATATTGAACTATTTCTAATTATAAGTAGTGCGAAATTCTTTACTATTGTAATATATCCTAAAAAAATATTTTAGTTTCTCAACGAGTAACGAATATTTGTCATTTATTCTACTGTATGAAGAAATAGTTTTGCAAATTTTTAATAATATTTTCTTTTCTTGAGCAACTAAAAGTAATTCTTTATTTTTTTTTGTTATTATATTACTTATAAAAGTTTTAATTTGATGAATTCCATCATGATCATCTGGATGTATTTTACATTGATTTATTAAATACTGCCTTAATGGCAACACCTTATAAATTGTTGGTTTTTTATCACAACTAAGTTCTTCAATTACTTCTTCAAATGGAGCTAAAAATGAACAAACATATTCAAGTAAATCTTTATCTATTAGCGTATAATCGTCCAGAAACGTTCTATCTAAAATATCAGCTAAATCATCAAAAACTGTTAAAAACACATTCATTGTATGAGAAGCACCGGTAAACCTAGTATCAGAGTAAGATTGAAGTTTACGTGGTAATTTTGATTGTTTGTGTATTCTTCTCATATGAGATACGATTTTTCGTATATAATCGAACATTTCCTGAACTAAATCACAATTAACTGGAATTTTTTCTACAGTATCCGAAGTAAAGCAGTGCTCTAATTGCTTGTTCATATAATGAATTGAACAACCGATTCTGGTGCATGATTCTTTAAAACAAGATTTCATTTTATTTTCATTGTCTGTCACCACGAATTTATTGTTGTCCAATATTAAATCATATTCCAATAATTTAGCATCAACAAATTGTCGTATTTGATTTGCATTTTGATTATCTCGATCATATGGATAACAACCCAAAATAAAAACGTACAGTTGAAGTTCTTCATTCAAGAAATGAAGAGAAATACCACAAAAACTCACACCTAAAAAGTATGTAGAATTAATTATACTTCTTTCATTTTGGATGTGTTAGTCTTTATATAACAGTTAATTTGCAGTCAAAATCATATTCTTACCAGAATGTGATTCCGTCCAAAAGTCCACCACAATAGTATAGGATTTAATATTCTGACAAAGAGCTTTTAATTGAGATTTTCTGCTAATGAATAACCGGTCTAAATTTCGACTTACCTAGAAAAAAATAAGTATAAATGAGGTAGCTTTTGTTTGAAAAGAGGAATGTCTGTACTCTTTTTATAATTTAGAAGAGTATTTACTTACAGTTGTTGGATGTCGTAATAAATTGGAAACATCAATATTCTGTGAATTTAACAGTTGTCCAGCATCAAATATAGTTTGTGTAAAATTGATAAAACCATCACCTGCAATAAGTTCAAATGCACGATTATCCATAGCAACTAGTTCAACAGTTGCATTCAAAACTTTGTTTTTAGATCTTGGTGGAATAGATCTAGTTTTACGGAAAGCAAAATATTCATTAATACTTAAACTTTTATTATTATTATTTTTTGAATTCGATTCACATGATCGAAGGTGCTTCTTCATACTGCTTGTACCATCAATTGATTTGTGATGTAGAATATCTTTACATGTATCACAAGACACAAAATTTTGCTTTTTATTATCAACATAAATATGACTAAATTTTTGCCAAACTATTGATGATGCTGTTGTTGGTTTAACAAATATTACACTTATATCATCATTTTTAATTAGTTCCGGAATATCTTCTTTTTTTAATAAACCATCGAGCATGTTTACAATAGTACGTTTTTTTCTTCAATACTGGTGTATTAAAATGTGAAAAGATCAAATGTTAAAAAAAACATTTATTCTTATTCATGTTTATCATAGAAGATTATTCTTTGTTTATCTGTTTATGGTATAGGCGAGAATTTAAAGTGATAGTTGGACGAAAAATTTACTAGAGTAATAGAAGTTAGAAAAATTACAAAACATAGATGACTCTAGTTATCAGTAAAAAATTACGGTTTCAGCGGTTCCGATTCCAACCTCTTTTTTTTTCACGGTTTCGGTTCGGTTCCGGGTAGCAGAGTCTTAAAAATTCGGTTCTCGGTTCCGTTTTCTTTGGAACCGCTGGGCTCTATATTTATGTCATCAATATCCTTTGTTACGAATAATCACTGTCTTCTTTTCTTGTCGTCTTTTTGCACAGAGAAAAGATGATTTTTTTTCTCTACCCTAAAGATGTGTGGAATCAGTTTCGAACCTAATCCAGAGTTGAAACTAAACCAACAAACCAGAACCAGACCGACTGGTTATCGATCCACTCAGACTTTTCAAGCCGTCAACTTTTTTTATCGAATGAACCACGCTTTATCTGACTGCCTGATACTTGGGACGACTGATGGTCTTTACTTCATGTTTTATTAAAACAGAACAACAGAAAAACACCTTTTGCATTTTGTTGAACTGTGTACTCAATGCTCGCCTCACACGAATGTTTAAATAACTAGGTCCAGAAAATCTTGAAGACAGGAATTGTAACTTTAAAGTCGAAATTTTCAGCTCCTCTTCTCTCTTCTAGCAGTAGTGATTGCCTTGCAAAAAATGTTAAGCCTTTGCATTACTCTAAATAAGTATTTTACGAATTTTAGCCACGAACTTCTACAACTCTTGCTGATGGTCAGCTAGAAAATTGCCTAAGAAACTAAGATTTTGAACCTCCTGCAGTTGCATAAATCTAAAAGTCTTGAAGAAGTTCTTTTCTCGTCGCTAGGTACCAATATATATCAGATGAGATAGATTAACATACGTTTATTTTCCTAGAAACATAAAGAGCTATATAAATTTCAAACTACATCTGCACCAAATGCTGGCGTGAGAAATTTTTTCACAAAATACAACACTTTGTAACTGACATTAAATCGACTGACTCTTTGCCGTTTCAACTCTAAAATTGAGCTGGTTGGTCCGATTAGAAAACTTTCAGCCAGTCCCAACTCTCCTAGTCCTGCTCTCATAGGATTGGAAATGGAAACAACTTTTTTAGACGTTCGTGTGACCATACTAACAATGGAACTGTTTGTACTGTTAGTTGATTTGCTTAACTATATTCGAGTCAAATTAAAGGTCTCATTGCCAAACTAACAAATTTAATATATGACGTGCTGATGGCGTACCTGAACAGAGATATTCAATTTTTAAGTTATGCACGGTCTGTTACCGAGCCAAAGGTTAAAGATCAATTATTAATGATAAAAACCAGTGACTGATGAATGGCTCAAGCTCAAACTATTCAACTCTTCATACAACAATCCATTGAACGAATGAATCCTCGGCTATCCAAACACCCAAGAGTAAGAAGCAGATCTCATGTACGGAGCTACAGAACAGAATATACCGAGCTGAAAGACCGAGACAACGATATATTACTCTATCCAGACCCCGTATAAACTGCACGATTGCATTTTTTAAGACTATCGTTTAACAGTCATGTACTTAGATATGCTGTCTTTCCTTTCCTGTAACATATTATGCTCTCTCTATTGTCCATCTTTTATGTGATATATTGTTGTGTCGTTCTTTCAGCTCGGTATATTATGTTGT